AAAAATTCCATTTAAGCATATTTAACATACTACTTAAACTAGCTGTGTACTTTTTTGTATATACACGACAAGACAATGTGCGCTGGCGTTGAGCCATGCTCTGTCTGCCTCCAGCAGTGCTAGTAGTTCGTAGCTGTGTTACACCACAAGCAATTGACATACGTAATAGCTGCCCATATTTCTTAGCTTCTTCATCGCCGCGTTAATCACCGCATAGGCTCCACCAGTGCAGCGAGCCCACTAAAGTAACAGGAAAACCTGCTCTTGCGGTCACACATCGTCGAGATCGATGACGGACGAACGGTCGTTATCGTCTCGATCAAACAAATGTCACTGATCCACTTGTGTTGGCGTCTTGCGTTGCAGCTCCTCCAAGGCGCCACTCACCAGCGCACCAATGCCAATGCCCATGCCCACGCCAGCACCACCACCGCTGCCATTATGTTGCACTTCCAGTCCATTGACCATTTTCTCGATACTCTTCAGCTCTGAGGGTGAATTTTGACGCTTCAACAGCGATGGTGGCGTCGTCGGCGACATGGAAATGGGTCGCGTTGGTGGCGAATTGGATGAGGCACGTGGTCGTGGACTGGAGCTTAGACTGCGTGGTCCATTTTCTACACTACTACCGGGTCCGCTGCTGCCAGGCCCCAGCGCTGAGGCATCACCCGCACCCGGCGGTCCGCCACGATTCGCATTCGAACCAGGCGTAACAGCATCGAATGCAGAACCCAAACTGCCAGGCAGGCTGTACGGTGAAAAGCGATGTCCCTTGAGTCCCTGCAGCGGCGAGACAGGCGTGTGTCCTGAGTAGTGTCCAAATAAGGCGGGATGTTGAGCGGCGAGCGCCAGTTGCGCATTGAACAGCAAGCCCGGATTGAGGCTGGCCGGATTCATGGCGGCCGCCGCAGCTGCCGGATTATGCAGCAGACCAAGATGTGGTGGCGGGTAGAGGCCATGCGGATAGAGGTAAGGCAATAAGTGCGGCGACGGGTGTATCGGTGGGCCCACTGAGATGTTCGGTGATGGGTAGGCGCCAGCAGCATTCAAGCCGCCAGCGGCACTCTCTTTCGGACTGCCCGAGGAGGTGGGTCGAAAGGCGCCACCCGTGCTGCCGCCCACACTCTCCGAACAGCTGGAATCGCTGCCATCACGTTCGATATCGTCCGATTGTAGGCGACGACGTAGAGCTTCTTCGTTCGCATGATCGCCGGCACCGGCCAAGTGGTTGAACCAGGCTGCAAGGGCTTTAAATTGGTTAGAAAAGTGGAATAGAATAAAAAATGAAAACAATGTGAAAATCAGAATAAAAAATGGGTGAGCTGAAGCGTGCAATGTGTTGGACATGGGCATGCAGTCCAGCTTGCAGACGCTACAAACTCAAAAAAATGTTGTTGTGAATGAGTGTACGCAAGGGAGGCTAAGCTTTACTCAACTCGCTCCCTTGCACCACTTCAAATGTGTGCAATAAACTTTCATTAGACCTACCGGATTGCTGATGCGCATGCATCTGCTGCAACGAATGACTCAAAGGCAATAGTGGACTCTGCGGCGGTCCGACCACGTCCAATAGCTTATCCTCGTCGTCCGCCTGATTGTCGTGTAGCGCCGCATGCGAATGCAGATGATGCGGTGGTCGCCCGGTATGGCCCAAATGCAGCGGCGCACGTGAACTGCTAACATGTGTTGGATTTAGTTTGTCCGAATCGGACCCGCGATTCGACATGAGCGCCTGCCTGTAACAACAGTTGGAAGGAATACAAAGGACTAATTAGAATATCCAGGTGGAAGTGGGAATCGAAAATGTAATACTTATGAGTTAGATAAATATATAAAACTACAAAAAAATCTGAGAGAAGTACACAGCTCGGGGGCAGATCGAGAAAATATCGAAAGTAAGTTTAATAGAACCATTTTCATTAACAAAACTAAAAGCCGTGTGACCGATAATTCGATAAGTGGCTTATCTTGTGGTCTAGGGCACAAATAAATGTAAATTATCTTGACCCTGAAAGAACTTGGACCAGGAATAGAATTTTCTATTTGGATCGCCTAAGCAGATACTACTAGTGCATTCCTCAAACACTTCTTTACTTTCATTTCTTTTTATTCTATTCCCATTATAACTAAGTTTGTTTAAAATCTCTCCGAAAGCCAGCATGAAATAGTTAGATTTTTAAGAACTACTGAGTTTTAAATTGCTTGATCGGATTTAGTAAATTCTGCTCTGGAATCGTTAGCTATCCAATTCGAGACATCCGAGGTTTTAGTTGCTTGGTTCGGAAAAGATTTCTTTGAGATCACCCTAAGGTTTGGAATTTTTTTCAATACCTTTTTGAAACCGAAAAAACACAATAAGTTCTAAGTTTCTGGTAACACAAAGCTAGAATCGACTTGTTTCTTAGACCATTGAGCATTGGATATTCCATTATGGCTCTCATTAAACATTGGAGGAAAGATATAAAATTTCTGTCTTCGAGTTTTTTTGCTTTGTACCATTTCTTCTTCAAGTTTTTCCGAGTTAAATTTCAAGATTTCTTTAAAGTTCTGTAGGTAGTTGATCAACTTTAGGATAGGTTAGGCTATCTTGGCTGTCCCCATCCAACACAGGAGAAGGGCACACTTAGGTCACTGTGGGCCCATTGTGTAGCCATACCAGAGACTCCTTACGTTCCTTCTCATACTTTAGAAGTAAACGCGATTTGTAGCCCTAATGAAGCGCACTAAATCATAGATAATAGCTGAATACAGTTCAGCGAAACATTCAAAGGAATAGTAGAGAAACCAGCGCCGACGAGCCCTCGCCAATGTGGGGCAGTGGCACTCTTTCGATTTCCTCCTCATCATGGCAGCTACGACAGTAGTCGTTTGACTGCATATCCATCCTACTAGCCTGGGTTGCCATCAGGAAACGCCCGGTGAGAACTTCAATTACATGCCGGAGTAATTGTCGTTCCAAGCGGAGTAGACTGCTAGATCTCCGCTTTTCTTAATATTAGAATTCCATTTGTTTTTAGAATACTTCTTTCCTTAAATCGTTCTAATATGTATATAGGTGGATGCTTTTCAAAGTTCTCTTTATTGCACTTGTAGTCCTCCGGCATTTTCGATTCTGCCATCGAGTTTTCACTCTGTCGGCGGATTTTATTTAAAGTTCTCGTCATTGTTGTATTTATGGTCACGATTAAATTCGCCATAGTCTCCTCTTAAGCTGTGCGATTTTTTGTCCGAACACACGGTCAGCTCTGATCCATCTGAGACTCCAATTGTGTCTACATCTCTACCTAGTTTTCCTCTATTCAGATCGCCTCAATTTAAAGATATATTTGTCGCAATTAAATAGATCAAGATTTTGGATTTTGTCAACCCAAATTTCGATATTTGTGGTTTCACTCGGGCGGACGTGCCTTATTAAAAGTTATCGTCATCCTAGTAAGATTATGCCCGCGGGCATTAGAACGTCTCCACTTTTGCCAACCATGTTTTCTCCCGGGCAGACGGTCAACTGTGATCTTTCTGAGGTATCCGTTTCGGCAATACTACTCGCATTTTGAGTGGATAGAGGTTTCTGAAATCTCCAATTCTATCAACATTCTCCGAATAGTCCAGAGAAAGTTCTCAGAAGCTCTTTGCATTTTTTAGCCCAGTTCTTTACCAGCCTATATCTCCTAGCGTACTTTTCCAGTAATTAGCTGGTCCAACAATAAATCAAACATAATCCTTTAAGAGCAATCAAATGCTCCTGAAACACTTAAGCTCTCCCACCACCGCAGCAGCTTAGAAGTCAGTGACACCAGTACGTGGAATTCGCAACAGAATTCAGAGCAACGATGTGGTGGCGCTGCTAGGTTGATCAAATAAATACCCGGCTGGAGTGAGTTAGAGTGTGAGAATCGAAAAATGTTCGGTGGAAAAAGGGTTAACGGCGGCGAAAGTTGCGGATGGCGTTACACTTATGACGAATTTTGCTAACTGCGCGCGCAGAAAGGGTTGGAGGCTTTTGACAAAGCTACAAATGAAAGAGTAGACTTTGATTTCTTTTTTAATTTTTTTGTGTACTCGTTTGTTTTGCTTCACTTTATATCAATAGCACTTCAGGGAAGTCTCTTTGCTGTTTTATGTTTAGATTGTTGGACAACAAAACAAATCGGACTGAGAGTACATAGAAAGGAAAGGGAATGCAGGCAACATGCCGCGGAAATCAAAATAACAGGCGTTACGAATATGCGTTCGAATACCAATGCTTGAGTGCGTGTGTGTGTGTGTGCCACAAATAAAAACATTAAAGACATTAGTAATCAGGGATAAACGTTACAAATGCGAACAATAAGGGCAATTTGAAGGAAATAACAAATGTATAAATGCATCAACGCTTTATGATACATGTACATTAGGCTGCACCACCCTCCATAAAAAAATTTTCGGAAAAATATATAATTGGAAAATACCTCCAAAAATCCAGTTTTTTAATCGAAATTAGTTTTCCAAAATATTTATTCAAATATCAACTCAGATAATGGAAGAGTCTAAGCATCAAAGGTCTGCATAAAAATGTTAAAAAAATGCATCAACTGAATCCAAATAATTAGTCTTTTGGAGGTATTCTGAAATCGGTCCAGCTCACGTAAATCTTAATATCTTTAATAGAATTGCTCAGACGAACGAGAGCACAAAGCGTGTTGCCCGAGTACGAGCAACTCGGTGCCCTTCCCCCTTTCTCGTCCCGGTGGAGAGAATACAGAAGGTGGCGCCGATGGCAACACCGCTAATCGGCTCTTAGTGAATTTGGCAGAATCAGCTGTTTTGCTGACGTCACAGTCGAGATGACAGCAGTAGTGATGTGCTGAGTCAATAATTTTAAGTATTGATCGATATTCGGTACCGATTAAAAAGTATCCAATGCTCTCGCATTAGGCCAAAAATATGGAAAAACCGGTTCAGGGGAGACTCGCCTATCAAAACCCAAATGTAGGAGCCAATAGAGCTTTTGATACTGATTCAAATGAAAGATGTATATATGTCGGTTCGAGGCCATAAAACTTGTTTGAAGCATTTTTGTTCCAGCTGAATCGGGCGATATCATTTTTGTAGGTCTGGGGGCATTTCTCTATTGCGATAAGTTCAAGTGTTTTAGCCGATATCATATAAATTAGTAATGAAAGTTTTTTCTAAACTTGAAATGCATATAATGTCGAAGGATTAACGTAAATAATCGGTATCGAGTACCGAAAAGGAAGTATTGGGTACCGACAATTCAGCACATCACTAGAGAGCAGTTTTATTTGCCGCTCTCAGTTGTCAACTCTACGATGACGTCACGCCAAAATTACTCGCACGAATTCTGCTGCAATTGGCGCAATCTTGTATTCTATCATTCTGGCTTTCTCGTCACTCCCTCTCGTACAAGTAAAGAGTTGCCGCGACAAAAGTTTCTCTGTCTGAACCTAGACTGAAAAACCAGCAATTTTATTTTTTGGACAGGCACCCTAATGTACGCACTTAAGTACTTAAATTCAAACAAATTCATTAGTAGTGCGTTGGATCACGGGAAGGGAGAGCAATGATATTATTTTAGGGTGGTTTTTAAAAACACCAGCGCGCACTTAGAAGTACTGGCAGCAGCAGCACACAGCCAGGCAGCTAGTCAGGATTAATGTTGATGATGTTATTAGTGATAATGAGCTTGATATTGATGACGATAAGGCAGTGAGTGAAGCTGTAGCTGTCGCCGGAGCTGGGGAAAAGAGTTGTTGTGGCAACGCTGTAACCCTTTTTGCGCCCTGTTCTTCGCCAACAGCGGCATTAGGCAAAGCATTCGAGATGTCTTTCAGCGCAAAAGGCGACGGGTGACAAATAATTGCATGCGAAATGTTTGTGATAATTATTGTGGCTTGCGGTTTACATAAATTGAAATGAAGAGCAGCGGGCGAAGGGGAGAGATAGAGATGCCACAAAATTGTGAAATTGAAATGATTTTAAAAAGCGCGTAAATCGCGTAGCAAAAGTCAACGGCGCGCTGGTAGTAGAGTAAAGGTAAAAAAATATAATTTCTCGCTTTCGTAATTATAATTTTTAGGTTTTTTTTTGCTTTTTAAGGCTTTTCAGCTGCAAAGGGTTTGAGTAAGGACTGAGTGAACGCGGCACTTGTCAACCAACAAAGTTAAATTTAAATGGCCAGATAATTGTGAGTAGCTGACAAGTGGTGCGCATTGATTGCGAGCGTTGGTGATTCAGTGAAGGCGCTACAAGGGAAAAATAGCAATTGAAATTTCAAAAAATTTATTATTGCTGAATGGCAAGAATCAGAGGTGAGTAAGAATTAAAGGAATGTGCTTGGTACTTGGTAGTAGAATAACCGTTCTTTTTTTTAACCCAGCTGTTGCATATCGTAAAGTATGGAGAATGAATGAATGGAAGTGATCGCAATAAAAGAAATGCGATAAAAGAACGTATAAGTAAATTCCACACACAAATTTAGAAACAATTAAAAGATGCGCGAAAAAAGATTGCATAAACGAGAAAATTCACTTCAAATTCGAATACTGCGGCAAGCGTGCGTAACATAAAAAAACAGTAAAAAAAAAACTATATCAAAAAATGTCTTAAATATAGCAAATAATAGTAATCACCAATTTTCTTATAAAGAAAAAATAAGCAACCAATCTCAACAATTAGAAAAAAAATCTTAGTAATAATTCAAAAGTAAAAAATAAATAAAAGGTAAATTAAAAAAAAAAGTCAAATG